CTGCTATATTGCCTGACAATCTGGGAGCTATTTGGCCTACTATAATGAATGCCTACTTGGATTTTTTTTTTTTTTTTACTCTTCAGGCAGAAGCCTGACCTGCTGAACTTGAATTGTTCTGCCTCTACCTCCACCAGCCTATGATCTTCCTGCTTCCTGGGTCGTCTTCTTGCTTCCTGGTTGGCCAACCACAGCAGTTACTGCGTGTTAAGTCTCCAGTTTACCATCTGACCCGTAGATTTGAGCCAGATTGTACTTACTCACTTCTGCAGTAGTGCGAGCCATTCCCTCGATAAATTTCTCTATCCATCTGTATCAGTGGTTCTTAACCTTCCTAATACCACGACCCTTCAATACAATTCCTCATTTTGTAGTGACCGCCCAACCATAAAATTATTTTCGTTGCCACTTCATAACTGAAATTTTGCTACTGTTATGGATCAGGCGACATCTGGGAAAGGGGCATTCGACCCCAAAGGCGTCGTGACCCACAGGTTGAGAACCACTGATCTATATGAATATAGAGATATAGATATTGAAAGATATAGATAGGAAAAGTAATATGTATCAAGGGAATTGCTGTAAGTGTGATATAGATAGAAAAATTGATAGACAGATAGGTAGATATCATTGGTCTTACTTCCACTGAGAATGCATTCTAGCACACCAGATGAGTCCTTAATTTCTGTGACACCAGGGTTCTATTGGCCACTGCAGAATAGGGGATGGGGAAGACAAGAGATCTTATATCATATACTCCCATTTAGACGAAATATCCCAATCACCAATAATTATCAATGCTCTTAATTGCATGTTTATCCATCGCAGACTAGAAGAATTGGTAGAATTCTTCAGATTCTTCATCACTAGCTCTCCTGGTTGGTGCTTAAATTGGAATATTAGTGATATTATTTGATTTCCTTGAAAAGGGATAAATATAAGCCTATCACAGATAGCTTTGTACTTCAAGATCGATCTTGAAATATCCTTTCTGAGGGGAACTGATCACTATGATTTACGTATATCATATCCACCCACACCCCTGCTTGGGAACAAACACCAGAAACCTGGGAGACCACTGACGGTGTAAGTTATGAAAATAATATTAATTTATAATTATCAGGGTTCATGATGGTGGGAGGTTGGGGGAGAGATGGAAAAAATAGGAGCTGATACCGATGGCTTATGGAGAAAGAAAATGTTTTGAAAAGTACAATGATGACATGTGTACAAATGTGCTTGATGTAATTGATAAATGAATTGTTATAAGAGCTGCAAGAGCCCCCCATATTATGATTTATATTTAAAGAAGAAAGAAAGAAATATGCTTTCTGACAATGAATTCAACAATTTTCTTCTTGATTGTGTCATTCGGCATAGTAAACCATATTATTTTCTGATTTTAAATGGCCCATTTCCGCTCACTAATGTCTAGGACCTCGATCTTTGTGTGTTCCATTCATTTTTGATGACTTCCAATGTTCCTAGATTCCTACTTCATAGATTCCAAGTTCTGATTTTTAGGTGATTTTTGCAGGCATTTTCTTTCTCATGTTGGGTCGTGCCCCATCAGCAAATGAAGATCTGGAAGGCTCTACTCTGCAGTGCTAACACCATCCCTAGCAGGCAGTGAGTTCTTCCTCTGTCACATATTGAGTGCCCTATGACCTGAGGGGCTCATCTTCTCTGTCTGACAAAGTTCTACTTTATCTTCCAGCAACACACAAGCCACCACAGTACGCTAACCAAGTGGTAGTGGTCCATTTTAGATGCATGATCATCCTTTTATTGGGAACATTATAAATCACTCCCTAGAGTGTGTGATAAGTATAGTGATAATTATTAATTGAGTTAACATAATAGAATTTCAAATGCTCTTTACAAAAAGAAAGTATAAAAGTACAGGACAGCTTTTGGACCAAAATACATAGTTTGATAGATTGTTAACATTTCCAGACCAAATATTCAAGTAATTGGACAATATTTTTGCAAATATTAGGGTTGGACAAAGGTCAATCAATAATGCTCATTGACCAAAGAGGAACCATCATGCAACATAAGATATGTCATTAAAATAAAGAGAGTTTGAAATCATATATGGCATTCCTGAACTGCCATTCACCTGTTTCTTCTCACACTAAGGCACTTCAGCCTTAATCCAAGAGAGTCATTCAGTTTCTTAAATGCACTACAGGAGAAATTAAGACAAAGCCCAGTTTGTTTGGTGGGGGTTCCAAATCAGAGCCTTGTTGTGAACTATGAGGGACGTTGTGCTTGTGCACCTTAAAAGGACAGAGTCTAAAGTCCTGTGTTACCAAAGGCTGGATGCACACTGGTTCAACAGTGGCCAATTAGAAACATAATACTGGGCATATTCTCACCTTGGGTGGTCGTGGTAGTGGGGATCTATATGAGTCGGGATAAATACTTTTCCCAATGCCAGGTTGTCTCACCTAGGTTACTCACAAACAGACATAGGATTACCTTCTCTAACACAAAGCTACCTGACCTTCTCTACTTGAATTTCCATTGAGGTTCACTGAGCACCCTTGTAGGAGTGTCTGTTGATTTGGGGTGATCACAGAACAATGTTATATAGCTGGAGCTGATTTGTCTTCTCTTGTCTACTCAATATAAGAAACTGACCACAGCTGAGGGTGGCCTTCTCTGTGAAAGTGTTTACTAAGATGGACAAATAAGTGGATGAGATATAGATCATGAGCATTAGACAGATACAGTGTGAATTAGAAGGTTACCTGACCTGAGAACAGAAGTCTTCCTTCATCTTGGTCTTTATCCTTACAGTGGTGGCCCACACAATATTTCTCTTTTAGTGATTGACTAACTTCACTCAGCATCATGGTTTTCCAGTTCATCCATGTCATCAGAACTTTCATGGTTTTATTACTGTTTTGTAGGGATGCACAGTATTCCATTGTGTTTATGTACCACAGTTTCTTTATCAATTCTTCCAGTGGTGGGCATTTGAGCTGTTTCAAGGTTATTATTACTATTATTATTATGAACTCTGCTATGATAAACATAGGAAAGCATAGGTCTGCTTGTGTTGTTATTTCTTTGGGGCATCTACTCAGCAGAGGTATTGCTGGGTTGTCTGGTAATTCTGTTTCCAGTTATTTTAGGTAGTGCCATATCAGTTTTCACAATGGGTGAACACATTGACAAGCCCACTATCAGTGTATAAAGGTTACAATTTCTCCACACACTCTCCAGCAATTTTTGTTTTTTAATTGAACTATTGTAGTAGATGTATGGTAGCTGTCTTCCAGGTTACCTGACTAGGCATCAGTTCTTGATCATATGTTACCTCTTAAAATGGGGGCATGCCAATCAATGCTTTTTGGAATTATGACTCCATTTCTTTGAACTTCTGAAGGTTTCTGCATCATTCAATATTTTGCCAATAGAATTTTTCTATATTGCAACTTGGGGCCTGAATTTTTTCTTCAATCCTTTCTGCTTAAAGAAATACTGAGCTCATTCCTTTTTTGTTTTTTTCCACCAGGTCTGTGCACATTTCCTGGTATTATGTTGTTTTCTTGAGCTGCCCTTTCACAGTTTCTTTTCAACTCTTTTATTTCATTTCTTTCATTTGTATCAATGACTCCATATTCCAGAACAAGTTTAATAATCTACATTGACACTTAATTTAACCTTTTCTTTATTTCTTGCTGTGATAGGAAGGTTTATTTTGCCAACCTGACCAATAAGAACATGTGGGGTTAATTAGGTTGCACTTTGATTGGAGGGCAAAGAGAGAAATGGCTCAGCAATGCCCACCCCTCTCTCTCTCTTGCTCTCTGGTCATCGCACCAGTGTAAAACTGCTTGAACTAGTCCTCTGCCTCAACTTGTACTCTACGCTACCTGTAGTACAAGCCAACCCATGGATTGTTTGGCTAGATCTTGAAGTTCCTCTGAGACC